CAACAGCCGCATCAAGCTGGGGCTCAAGAGCCTCGTCAGCAAGGGCATCCTGGTGCAGACCAAGGGCACCGGCGCCTCTGGCTCCTTTCGGCTTAGTAAGAAGCCAGGGGAGGTGAAGGAGAAGGCTCCTAGGAAGCGAACGCCAGTGGCCAAGTCTAAGAAGGCAGCAGCCAAGAAGCCCGCGGCTGCTGCTAAGAAGCCTAAGAAAGCAGTGGCAGTGAAGAAGAGTCCTAAGAAAGTGAAAAAGCCAGCAGCTTCTGCCGCCAAGAAATCAGCAAAGAGCCCTAAGAAGGCAACCAAGGCTTCCAAGCCCAAAAAGGCAGTGGCTGCCAAGAGCCCGGCCAAGGCAAAGGCAGTGAAGCCCAAAGCTGCCAAGCCCAAGGCAGCCAAACCCAAGGCAGCCAAAGCAAAGAAGGCGGCCCCCAAGAAGAAGTAAACCCCTGATCTGCTGCTTTTCAACCCAACGGCTCTTTTAAGAGCCACCCAAGATTTCCCCAAAAGAGCTGAACACATTTTTATTCAATTCTGTGATGAAATGTCATGAGTGTTTTTTAATTTTCTCATGCAAGCACATCTAATACATGCTGAAGGACTTCAAAGGCTTGTAATAGCATCAAAAATTGCCTTAAATATTTGCAGTAACGTAGGGGGCAGTTCACACCTAAAAAATCACAGATTAGTTAGGTACTTAAGGGGCTGAAGTCCATTTTCTTTTAAGGGAAGCACAAACATTATATAGCAGGCATTTAAATGCTTTTGTAATCATATTTGACTACAGGAGAGGGGAAATAAATCAAAGGTAGGGAAAGAGCGCTTGTGTGCAGCCAGACTAAGCTAAGCAAATAGTACCAAACATAGGGAAGATACAGGGAAATAAAAAAAAAGTACTAACACGGTCACAAAAAATTAAATAGTTGCATTAACGAATTTAGTACGACCCTTCCAAAAGTAAGTCAAGACATAGACTGCAAATAATAAATTAAGAAAAAGGAATTTAGCTCTTTTTCCTGAATTTGTAGGTGGCTCTGAAAAGAGCCTTTGGGTTTCTCTGCACACTGTCCACAGCTTTCTCACTTGGCCTTAGCCTTGTGGCTGTCGGTCTTCTTGGGCAGCAGC